TCTCACTCACGTACACATAATATAGCCTCAATAGCATGCAAAATACTGGGGGTTTGGGGGGTCTTCAGGGTCTTTGGGAGTTTTTATGTGCTATTTTCTGATTGCATATGGACAACATAGCCGGCCTGGTTGAATTACCCCCGTTAGAACTGTGCTAATCAGAAAACAGCCGAAGACCACCAAACCCCAAGTTCTATAATCCTGCTACGGAGGCTACACATAAAACTCACGGTTTGCGCATTAAGAAACATCCAGTTCTTTGTTCAACGATTGCAAATGATGTACCACCTTTCAAACGTTATCACTTGGTCTCAAAATACATTGAAGGAGAAAAGTATAAAAAGTAAGATGATGAGAGACTCAATAGCCTCTACCAGGGTTCGGGAGGCGTTGGAAAGAGTAGAAATCGGCCAAATAGATAGGTAGGCATGCCAAGGGAGTTTGTCCGGGTGCGGCAAAATGTTCTCTCAACGGACAAACTCCCTTGGCATGTTTATCTCTCTATTTGGCCGATTTCCACTCTTGCCAGCCGCCTCCCGAAGCTAGGACTGAGAGCTAATACTCACCAGTTTGGCGACTGCTCAACTTGCTGAAGTGCCGACTGGAGAGAGGTCACGAGATCCTGGCAGTCCTACAGCGGTGGATGAACTGACTTCTCGCCTTCGCTGTTCGCCTTTTAGGCCACAGCAAGGCATTTTCATGGATGACATCAGCGCGCGCCTGATTTTGGAAAATAGAAAGAAGGTGTTACCCTCTGACAGTGGTCAACATGCCGAAAATGAACAAAGATGTCTGTCGCCATGCCAGAAGGTGGACGACAGATAAATATAAAGAGAGAAGACGAGGCGAGGCTCTAGGATTTGTCTTGTCTGTTTTGTCTTTGATGCAGTGAAGTATTTCATTCCTTTCAAATGTGATGGTGGCTGTGTGTGTATATGTGATTTTTTTTTCATGGTTGTCGTTACAAATCGGATGGCACCCAGGCCATATATGCCATGTTCCCACTGAATCAAAACCATTTGTACAATGATCGAAAAAAAGTTGCTATTTTTCAAAGTTGTTTCAGTGACAAATGGATGTTGTAATAGTTTGCAGTTAACTTAGCACAATACATGTATCATTCCTCGTTTAACAAGGTTTATCATGTCAATTTTGAAAATGTAGGAATCTTTTTTTGCCCGCCTTGTTTTTTTAGCCCTATCGCATTAGATTTGGAGTCTGCAGAGGATGTCATCCATAAAATGTACTTGCTGTGGCCCTATGAGGCTCTGGGGCGCGTCTGAATACTAGTAGGCTCTGATAGTGATACAAACAATAGATGACGTCGCTTTTCCTTACAAATCGCTCATGCAGCTGTTCTAACCTCTTCCAGGCACCGCGGATCGCTGGAGAAATAGTAGAAATTGGCCGAAATAAAGGAACAATATACCAGGGGAGGTAGCCGGCCAGAGAAGATCCAATTTGCGACCCACGGAGCCCGTGCGGAATCGCTAGCTTCAAACGATATCAGATTAATCCCCCTATTATTCGTATTCGTACAAAGAAACTAGATCAGCGCCGAATATCCGTGGGTCGCAAATTGGATCTTCTCTGGCCGGCTACCTCCCCTGGTATATTATTCCTTTATTTCGGCCAATTTCTACTATTTTTCCAGCGATCCGCGGTGCCTGGTAGTGGCTTCAGCTGTTCCAGTAGGGACGAGTCCGCTCATAATTACAACATGTGACGACAGAGGGGACCCGGGGGTTTCCCGAAGCAAGGACATTATACGTTTGCAGGCTACAACGATTTGCTTTTACCCTACTCTCCAAGCCGATGTTGTGGGGGAATGATCGTTAGCTTTTTATACATGTATATGGCCTTCTTTTTTCGCTAGTCCCACCGTCGGTGGCCGGCGACCTAGGCCTTCTCCGGCTAATGGATACTGCCTGGCCAATTTGATACTGTTTTTTGCCACAGAAAGGCATCGGATTTGCTTGGAGATTATTCATTTCACTGTAAACAGAAAGAAACCTTATTATAACGTCTGTGTGACGAATCAGCCATTGAAACGGTGTGACTGAGATGGACGGTTGCTCTGAAACAAAATGCATCGATCAATGAACATATTCTCCTCACCCGTACAGGTCCGACGTTCTGTACCTTGTAATGTCGTACGGTGACCAATGTTGCCCGGGTGGTAGTACATTCGCGAAAAGCATCAAACATCAACAACCCTCAAATCAGAAATCATTTTATACTTCAACCTAGTAAACACCATAATGTACAAACATGTACTTTGTATTTTGTAAACTTTGTATTCATGTATACATGTATGTAATGTCATGTTGCCTTTGATGAATAAAGTTTAAAAAAATAACCTTAAGATCTCAAAAAAGCATTAGAGGACGGTGTTGGTTTTGGTGTAACAGTGGTGCCAACTGATTCGGCCGATGGGTCTAGACTTTTAGCCAATTCGGTAGGGGCGTCGGGTTGTAAGCTGGCGCCCGGGCGCCGTTGGTTCGATCCCAGCCCGGGGCCAGGGGTTTTCATCTGTTTCTACTCTACTTCTTACACGGGCTAGACGGTTTCAGTCCGGGTCGCCAATTTTGTGTAAAGACAAAAATTGGCCCCCTCATGAATAATTCCTTTGTGGGAGAGGAACAAACATCGGTCAGCACAAGGCATCTATCAGACAGGAAGCGCTTGCAATCCTTCTAGTAGAACTAGACAAGGTCTTGCCGATACAAATGTGTAGGATTCGCACCTACGCACATTTGATAAGTTGTAGAAATAAAGTTTGTTTATTTGAGTTTTAGTCCGCATACCGAAGCAGAAGCGTAACTAATTAAGACCAGGCGGGCAGGAGGCAGGTCCGGGATCATTCCCGGCCTGCCAGCGCAAGAAGCAGTGCGGAAAATTACCCACCCGCCCACTACCAAAACGTAACGATAGAATTTTTATTAAACATACTTTGTATATAATCACCTTGTGTATACTACACCTTCTCCATAGGAGAAAAATTTTGTATTATCATTGTTATTTTTAATAAAAATGATAACCCCCAGTCAGGCGTCGTACTTTTATGCTTAGATTGAAATATCTGATAAAACACACACGTTTAGTTCAGACAGGTATGTTGGTTTAGACAAGTAGCACTACAGATTGCACCTTTTCCGAGTAAAACTTACTACAGACATGACAAGCCTATTCACGCACAAGCACAACAAACATGACGATAAAAACATATTCACAACGTCATCCTACCGCCAACAGTACACCTTCTTCTCAATGTCAGGCCACACCAATTTAATTTGTTGGTTCTCGGATTTTTTTTCAGAAAAAATATTATGCGACAGGGTGAAAATAAATGAAAATAAAAAGAGGCCTAGGCATCCTATCATAGCCCCAATTATGCTATAATAGGAGCCTTAAAGTTAACACAAAAGGCTGGGTTAATATTCAAACAATAAATTTTGAATTTTTTAATCAAACCACTTGGAGAGGAGATAGGCGCCGCCAAGATTATAAGCCTGAGGAGTCATCGTGACAAGTCCAGACATGCTGCTGGCTGTCATGATGCCCCTATGACCGTCAAGGTTATGAGACTTACATACAATCAAACCACTGCATTGATACATGGAAAAACTGTAACAGCTAGGAAGAAAACTTTCCTCAACTGTTGGGGGCAAAATATGAGCATTTTTAGTTGATTCAGAACCAGAATCTTTGTTTTTTTTTGCAAATCAGAAAAAAATGAAGAGGCGAATCCGAGAACCAACAAATTAAATTGGTGTGGCCTAACATTTATACCTACAAGTCATAGTATAAGACTAGACGTCCGCTGGCTTGTGCGTCACTCTGTTCCTCAATACAATCTTGACCGGCGACAAGTGCTCATTATTCAGTCGATATTGATGTATAGTACCTTCTTGTTTGTAATGTCAAAGTTTGCTGATATATGTTAGGCCACGGCAAGTGATTTTTAAGGATGTAATCAGCGCGCGCATTAATTTTCGCCAAATTTTGGAGAAAAAAAAGAAATTTTGTTTCCCTCTGATAGTGGTCAACATACTTTTATCTAACCACAGTATACTAGAACCTTAGAATTTGAAATTTAGAATTAGTCAGCAGCGTATATGCTAGTTCTAAATGTATTAAAATGTTGGTGGATATTGTTTGTTTTTATCTGTTCTGTAAGATACATAATAGTAACTGTTAGAGATTTGTCAACTTTGTGAATCTGTTTCGCCAAATAAATCAAAACACGCAATGTGTTGTCTTCTTTATTGATCTTTTTTTTTTATGAGGATGTTGTCTAATTTTCACCTATGTAAATCAGCGCATGTAACATGATAATTTCAACAATAAATTCAGGCACGTACTAGGTGGTTTTTATTGATCACCGACTTTATTGTTCTAATAGTCTCCATCTTGGTCCCTTGTTACTACGAATAATGATATGATATGAATATTTATTGCATGTTCTTGCCCAGATGGGCTAAATGCACAAGAGGACATGCAGTATGCAAAACATGAGTATGCAAAACATGAGTATTGCATACTGGGACGCTATATTCTAATGCTAATTGCTAGGAATTTATACATTATAACAATTTACTAGGATTGAGAGAAAGCTTGTTTGCCGCAAATCACTGAGAAATCCGAGTCACTTTGTAATGTCTTCTCAGGTGTCAAAATATAGAATAGTGTCGTCGGCATACATGGCTACCTTGCACGACTGGATACAATTAGGCAGATCGTTAATGTAAAGTATAAACAGAAGTGGACCCAGAATGCATCCTTGTGGAACACCACAGGTAACGCGCGTTGAAGAGGACAAGACTAATGTTGTCCGATTCTTCCCTATGCAAATTAGCACGGTGCTTTTTTTTTGTTTGTAATCAGGTAAAACCTACCAGACCGGTTTTATCCACCCAGTCCCCATATAAATGCGTCCCTGACTGCTCTGTTACTGTCAGTACTGACTCTGCAGCCGTGAGGATCTGTGTCGTCGTGAAAACATCGTGCAGTACTTTGGAGCGTCAGTGCACCTTGGTGAGTGGTGGCTTTAATTTGGTTTCCTCTATTTATTTGTTATGAGGACTGCCATGTGGCACCTTGTTGTAGGTTAAATAATGAGTTAAATGATGTGTTGGGTGCGTCATACAACGGGTGTGGTGCATGTATATTGAATGATATTGGGTAAGTATGTTGGAGTTGTAATCTAGTGGAGCGACTCTGTACGATGCTACAGTAGGGTATATTTTGTAATAAATGTATGGTATTTCGTGTGGTGAATATGGTATGTTTTGAGTTATACAACCAACTGTATGAATACCTTAGCCACCACAGGCTTCTAACACCTGCTCTTTCTGGTTTTCGCCAACTACACTCATGTGAGACAGCTCTGCACTCTGTGGTTGAAGATTGGCTAAAACCCATTGATAACAAGGAGCTAACTGGTGTAGTTTTTTGTGACCTGTCAAGAACGTTTGACACGCTAGATCACGATATACTGCTGTTAAAGCTGAAGTGCTACGACGTGGTCGACTCGGCTTGTGACTGGTTTAGGTCATATTTAACTGACAGGCAGCAATGTACAGGTCTGGGCTCAGTCTTGTCCTCTGCAACGCGCGTTACCTGTGGTGTTCCACAGGGATCCATTCTGGGTCCACTTCTGTTTATACTTTACATTATTTTCAATTCCATTGAATATATAACATCTTATATTTTCCATGTTCCTGCAGATTTTGACCAGCATGGCGACCAGAGATGATTCTGACCTGAGACAAGATGAGGGAGAGAAAGGGCGTGGACATCAAGATTCTCCTCGTACCTACACGTGTAGAGAGTGTGGCAAGGAGGTTAGTTACCTGAGTTCTCTGAAGCGACACATGCGGACTCACACGGGTAAGAAACCGTACCGATGCGATGAATGTGGCAGGCAGTTCTGTGAGCTGGATAGTCTCAAAAGACACATCCGGGCTCACACTGGTGAAAAACCCTACAAGTGTGAAGAGTGTGGCAGGCAGTTCAGCATGCTGAGTAGTCTGAATGATCACATGAGAACTCACACTGGTGAGAAGCCATACAGATGTGAGGAGTGTAGCAAGCACTTTCGTCACCTTCACGGTCTAAAGACTCACATGCGGATTCATACGGGTGAGAAACCGTACAAGTGTGAGGAGTGCGGCAAGCAGTTTAGTGACCTGCGTAATCTAAAGAGACACATGCGGACTCACACTGGTGAAAAGCTGTACAGATGTGAGGAGTGCAGCAAGCAGTTCAGTCATCTTGGTCATCTTAAGACTCACATACGGACTCACACAGGGGAGAAACCCTACAAGTGTGAGGAGTGCAGCAAGCAGTTCAGTCATCTGGGTAACCTGAAAACACACATGCGGACTCACACTGGTGAAAAGCTGTACAGATGTGAAGAGTGCAGCAAGCAGTTCAGTCAGTTGTCGACTCTAAAGAGACACATGAGAAACCGCACATGTGTGAAGAATGTATTATTCAAGTAGTTTGCAAACCCACACTGGAGAAAGTCTGACAATGTCAGATTGAGTTCTATTTGGATTTTTTGCCAATGGGGCCTCTTATTTGCTGGTTTTCTCCCAATACTGTATCCGCTATATGGCAGCATTGTAAAGTTAGGAATAACGAAAAGTTTATATCATAGTCATTGCATTCTTCGTAGGCTATCGTCGCCCGTAGATTTAGTTAAGAACTAGAAGTAGTGAGTAAAAGGAATGCAGTTGTGGAGAGTTACCCCAAAAGACACCGTTCGGTCAATGTGCAATCGCCCGTATGTTGTAGCACTTACTAGTTCTCTTTCTTTCAGTAATTAAAATCACCGTGAATATACTAGATCGTTTAGAATGAGTTGCAGCATTGCTAACATATTATGAAGGCATTAAGATGTTGCTGAGTACCTGAGTACTTGTTTTTCCTGGTTTTCTGTAAACTACATAACATCTGGGTCCATAATATCACCAGGGTCCATAATATCACCACCTTGAGAAATAGTGTGCTTAAAGATATTTTTACTGCAACATTCTTTTGGTATGCACTCCTTCACACATCAAATGTACATACCTAGGGTATGTTGCAGTAATAATATCTTAAAGCACACTGTTTCTCAAGGTGGCGATATTATGGACCCTGGTGATATTATGGACACAGATGTTATAGCTAGTAGTGGTTTGTCTTTTTTTCATCTCAGTTTTGCTAATAAATCAGTTTTGCCAATAAATAAAATGCGTCACTATCTTTTCATCTTCATAGTTATTCTCCAAGCTGTACTCTTTCTGGGGTGTTGTGTTTTTTCTTGTTGTCTGATCCCCCCATATGTGAGGAATGCGGCATGCTGTTCAGTCAGCCGTGTAATCTAAAGACTCGCATGCGGACTTACACATGTGAGCAAACGTACGAGTGTGAGAAGTGCAACAGGCAGTTAGTTTAGCAGGCTGGGTAATCTGAAGGATCACATAAGAATCCACACTGGTGAGAAACCGCACAGATGCGAAGAATGCAGCAAGCAGTTCACTGCACTGTCAAATCTAAAAAGACACACACGGACTCACACTGGTGAGAAACCGTACAGATGCGAAAAATGCAACGAAAGCTTTCGATATTCACGTGCTCTGACTACCTGCATGAAAACTCACATCGGTGAAATCCCACACACACACTCTGTAAACATCACATCATGTGGCACCATAACCATCGGGATTTTGTCGTTTCAAATGTCCATTCTTTTTTATATCAGGCACGTAAGGCATGCCCGTAGCCAGGATTTTGAATGGGGGGGGGTCTTCCCACTGCTTGAGAACTCGGCTCCCAGCGCCAAGAGTCACAGAGCACTGGAACGATTCAGTGAGGAGCCCGTTACTTGGGTACTTCGGCACTTGCTATCCAGTGGTGAACGGCCGCCGAGCACTGGTAGCGAGTGCCGAGTGGAATTTAGCACTGGAAAACGAGTGCCGAGTCGAGATTCAGCTCTGGAATTTCCATTCTGGCGGAGCTTCAGCACTGGAAAAAAGCCGTTCAGCACTAGACTTCCTGTGCAGAGTTTCCTTCCGCACAGGGCCCCCAGTGCCGACGCCACTTTCCCCGCAAATTCATCACTGGGTGGCCAGTAAGGAACCCGTTACTTCAGTACCCTTGGCTAAGAGACCGTTCGTTTGACGTCAAGGCGCATGGTTACACGTAATGTGTTGTCGTCTTCATTCATTTTCCTCTAAAGATGTTGCGTAATTTGTCCCTATGCAAATCAGCAAATGTATCTATCAAGATAATTTCAACAATAAATTCAGACACGTCGAATATGTTGTTGTTTTATTGATCACCAACTTTATTGTTACAACTTGGTCTGTTTTCCTACGAATGATGTTGTCTGATAATTCCCTATGCAAATCAGCATGGCGCTTTCTTTCTTTAATAATCAAGTAAAACCTACCGGACCGGTTTTGTCCATCCACTCAGGGTGTATAAAACTTGTCCCTGACTGCTCTGTTTCTGTCAGTACTGACTCTGCAGCCGTGAGGATCTGTGCCGTCGTGAAAACATCGTGGAGTGCATTGGACCGTCTGTGCGTATTGAGTAAGTGATTTTCTTTTTCTGTTTTTTTTTTTTATTACTTCGTGCATCTTGTTGTAGGTCACATTATAAATCCACGGGGGGAGAACTTTGCTTCTACATTTCGACTTACTTTTCATTCTTGGCTTTTTAACCTGGACTGGCCCTTTAGATTATTAACATGCCGAACTATACATTTTTAGAAGATTCAGTATGGAAAGAGATTCGGGAGATTTTATTAATTTTCCTGTTCTAATGTGTTGTATGTTTTGTTGTTTGCAATACAGATTCTTGTTGTTTTCCGTCCCTATTATGCTTTCCTTGCAAATCTGGGTGTCCTTTTTGTGCCTCTTTTGTTCTTATCGGTGCACACACCAATCATTCCGCGACAGGGGTCCGAGGTAGTGAAAAAGTGACGAAGGGTCTCCGATGGTTCATGTTTGAGTTTACATTTCTCATAATCTGCTGCAAAATGATATTAACTACTAACGTGACTGGAAAGTGTAAGAAGTGGCGTGTTTTGGGTGAAAATTGCCCCCCTTATAACAAAATTAAACCTGTGGTGTTTTATATTATATCTGTAGGGTTTATCAACATGGCGACAGCCGAATTCCAACTGAATCAAGAGGAGGGAGACTCCGCGTACCCACAAGTGCGACAAGGAGTTCTACTTCCCTAGTCAATTGGAAAACCACTTGCGGACTCACACAGGAGAGCAACCGTACCGATGTGAAGAATGTGGGAGGGAGTTCAGTGATCTAGGAAGTCTAAGAAGACACATTCGAAACCACACTGGTGAAAAACAGTACAAGTGTGAAAAGTGCAGCAGACAGTTCACCAGGCTGTGTCATCTGAAAGAGCATATTAGAATTCACACTGGTGAAAAACCGTACAGATGTGAGGAGTGCAACAGACAGTTCATCAGCCAGGGTCATCTGAAGAAGCACATTAGAACTCACACAGGTGAGAAACCGTACAGCTGTGAGGAGTGCAGCAAGCAGTTTGGTCAGTTGTCAACTCTAAAGACACACATGCGGACTCACACAGGAGAGAAACCCTACAGATGTGAGGAGTGCAGCAGGCAGTTCAGTGACCTGGGTAAACTGAAGGACCACATACGGACTCACACCGGCGAAAAACCGTACAGTTGCGGGGAGTGCGACAAGCAGTTTACTACACTGTCACAAATAAAGATACACATGCGGACTCACACTGGTGAGAAGCCGTATCGATGTAAGGAGTGCAGCAGGCAGTTCAGTCAGCTGGGTAATCTAAAAACTCACATACAGACTCACACCGGCGAGAAACCACACATGTGTGAGGTTTGTGGCAAGCGGTTCCTTAGACTGTCATGTCTACAGAGGCACATGCGGACCCACACTGGTGAAAAGCCGTATCAATGTGGTGAATGTAGCGGGCAGTTCAGCGGGTTCGGCCATCTTCAGATACACATGAGAACTCACACTGGTGAGAAACCGTACAGGTGTGAGGAGTGTGGTCGACAGTTCAGTGACCTGAGTAATCTGAAGGCACACGTGCGGACTCACACTGGTGAGAAACCCTACAGATGCGAGGAGTGTAGCGAGCAGTTCAGAAGACTGAGAAGTTTAAAGATTCACGTTCGGACTCACAGAGTGGAGACAACGTACTTGTCTTAAAAATGCAACGGAATTTTTTCGTCAACACGAAAAGTCAAGCTGGCGATATCCAAATGATGTCTTTGTAAATGATACTGGGTGGGATCATTTAGGTGCCCTGACTGTTTGATCTCATCATGTTATTCCTTTGCAAACGAAATTTTTACTGTTTTTTTTTCTGAGTAGCATACTCTCTTATTGACTCCACTGGAAATAATAATGGGCAGAGTTGACCAGACAGATAGACCGAGTTGTCTGACATTCATTTTATATCATGATTGATGCTTGCTCTGTAGCCTGTTGATTAGAGCTAGAAGTCGTGTGTAAAAGACAGTGTAGTACTAGTATTCAGACAATAGTTGCATGGTAAGACACAGTTCGTTTTACGTCAATGTGTCATCGTCAGTCTGTAATAGAACTAAGTCAACCACATGTAGTTTTCCTTGGTTTAGTATCTTTGAATATACTAGATCTTAAGCGTTTAGCTACATTAGCAACATGTCACTAATTAATGCATTAAAATGTTGTTTGTTTTACTACAGTTCTGTTAGGTAGAGGTAGCTTAGAGTTTGAGATTTGTCAACTTTTTGCATCTCAGTTTCAACAATAAAGCGCGTTATGTGCCTTATTTATTTGTCATCATTGTTGTCGTTTTTTCACGCTGCATCTTTTTCCTCAGGACATTATCTGATTTCCCCTTTGCAAATCAGCACACGTAACATGGTGCGTTGACCAGGTTGTCCTCTTTCAAATGTGTTGCCCCATACTCTAGTCATTTTAGATTTTTATTTGTTTGGACTATAGATGGTAAAAAAATATCAAGGTCACATCTAAGAAAACACGTGCGGACTCACACTTGTGAGAAACCGTAAGTCTGAACGATGTAGCACAAGAAGAGTTCAAAGATCTCATACCCCCATGAAATATTTAGTGCTTTGAAAAACAATTTAAGTGAAAAGACTAATAAAAGTTCCAGGTTACATAGTGAAGAAGGCAGGAGCATGCCTAGTGTCTAATATGTCCCAATATATGCAAAACCAGAGTGATGATGCGGTTAATAATCTGGCTACATTCATTTCAATATACATGCAGCAAACTACAAGTAAGATAACAAAGATTTATTACCTACAGGCACACATTGACCAAAATAGAATTTGAGGTATGGCCTGACTTTTGCTTAAAGGTTAAATAAGTGGATGATGCATACCTTCATGAACAACACTTTAACAGTTAGTAGATGCTCTTTGGTCTTTTCGATAAACATGTTGTTTAACATGGTTGTTCAGTGACTTGGCGATTTCAGGATGTTCAGTGTCCTTACCATAGATACTCCGCCTCAGATCGCCAACCATGCTCGTGACAAGGGGCAGTAGAGGGACCTTGCAGTCGCCTGCGCCGCATCCGACCGATGATGATGTTCGTATGTTTACTCGTATATGTTTTGAACCCCGGAAGATTAGTCATGGACTAAAGGGTATCTAAATAAACTAATAAACGAACGAAGCGTGGGGATCCTACATTTAGCCTCGACATGGATTCTGATGGTGAGCGGTCAGACAGAAGTAGCTGTCAGTGACGAGCAGAGCAGAGACACTCCGAACACCGAGGAGACATAAGACATAAGAAAGCTTTATTAGCATTTAGCAGATTTCCGACAAATCTTGAATTAGCGCTAATTTACAAAAAAAAACATTATCGAACTAGAGAAGTAACATTTGCAAAGCAAATGCATAATGTTTACCTTCGGACATGGTCTGCCCTGTTAATTTTTACTCAAACACATTCACATACATGTACTACGAGTATATGGTGACAGGAGGAGAGCAGACCATGACATTATGTAACCCAACACCAGTCACCATGGTGGCAGACGTCAACAAATCATGTCATTGGCCAGGTCAGAGGTTAGTTAGTGTTTGGAACAGAAGAGGAGGAGGAAGAAACTGAGTAAAAACAATATGTTTTCCTTCGGTAAACATAATAACACAGAAGATTAAAAATACGGTTTATTAAAATGTTGTGAAATAAGTATTTTACTTTAGATCAACATTAACTAGATACACCTCTAACTCTAAAGAATTATGAAAAATTTAAACTTTTCTCCAACTCAAAATTTGACTCAACAGAAATTTGGACTTCAGACAACCTTTGACCCTTTGCTGACGTCACACGTGGGAAAAATCAAGTGTCCACAGCGTTTGGGTCAGATAGCTGAGGAAGACTGAGTGATTCAGTCGAAAATTTCTGGTGAGTCAAATTTTGAGTTGGAGAAAAGTTTAAGTTTTTCATAATGTAGTTTACCAACTCAGATGAACTTTCATGCTAACTCTAAAGAAATTTCGTCCCGACTTCGATTAAAATCCAGACCGGACACGTCTACGCTAATTGCTCCATATTGTCAATATCTAAACACATTTCGACATGATATAGCGATTTATGTTAATCACATATAGCAATGCTATAAAGAACAAAAAATTAGCTGCTAGATTTTATGCAACAAAGTATAACTAAAACACTGCTATCTATAGGTCCTAGATATCTGTTATATATCTACGTTCTACTAGAAACAATTCAATAGTTTTAGAATCTGCTAATACTTTATGTCATTTGAATTTACCCTAAATGTATACTGTTTTGAAAATTCCAACATCTTCAGCTGAATGTGAAAATTTTAGACAAATTGACTTTAAATATATTTGTTACACATGTACTACTGCCTTTTAACTGCTGGTAGTACTTCCATGTTTTTCTCAGCCTTGACTACCACCACCATAGACGCAATCCTGCTGAGAAGTGGCCCTCGCTTCTCCTTGTGTAGGTCCTCCCAGGACCGCTTCAGGTAGTCCAGGATGGCCTCTTCTTGTGCCTTGGGCGGAGAGTCCGTGTCAACATCGTCACTGCAGGGTGAAACCAAATATTGACACCAATTAGAAATCCACACAAGAGATAGCAAGTCTATCATATATGTAGCACCTTCCAAAACAACATAAAGTTGTTTGCAACAACACTAACTTACCCGGAAATACAGATCCACAGTCAGTTACCTATGTCCTCAAATTATCATCTAATCGAAACCCGCATATTATCTTACCCACCACTTCATTGAAACATTTGCCTGCCATTTCAAATTTTAAGTTTTGCAAAGACTAAAAAACAGAAAGGATGCATTTGCCAGTTTAGTTACATCTGGTTATTTGCTTCTTTCATAATTGGGATTTGTGGAGGACTTTGACCAACTAAAACCAACAGCACACCATTAATCATTCTACACAATGTTGTGTGAATAATGTATGAGAAGCTGTCGCTGCTTACCTGCAGTGCACCGTCATGAAGTAGGCGACGTTTTTGAACTGTGCGTCGTCATGGTCGCAGTAGGAGTGGAAGATCATGGCCGCGGGTCCGGGCAGACTGTCGACTCTGGTGAAGACTGCAGACCGAACGTCCCCGAGGAAGGTGGAGTCCAGCGTACGGTCGATGTGGAGTTTCGCTCGGTCGGCGTCAACACGGCTGAACTGGTGACTGTCGATCATCAGCGGCTTCTCTGAATAGACCTAATGAAATTTTGGTGAACAATACTTCATAGAATTATTCTTTTGCTAACCAACCGTCTCTTTCGATCCCAAGCCATCATTATACACTTTCTAGTCAAGTCAAGTCTCACTCATTTTACCATAATTATTTCAACAACGTTTGGAAACATGTCTAAATTTAGACTGGCACATTGCTCTTTGTTTGTTGACGATCCTCGTAGTCTTCAGGGTGAAAATTGGCCAGTTATTGCCTAATTTGAATAAATGAATAGATGAATAGAGGAATTAGAATGTAGTTTGACTGACACATAATGACATTACTGACAAGATTACATGATGAAGCTAACATGGAAATTTAAAAAAAATGTGTTTCATGGACTATGAAGTGCAATTAATATCAAAATCACCAGTAAGATAGTTCTAAAAGTCTTACATAAATATTAACATATATCATGTGACCGTACCTTTGCCAGTGCTTCAGCGAGCACGTCAGCCGTCCGATGAGCGCCGGGCGGGGCCCCGATGATGAGGACTGCCGGCCTCCTGGGCGGTCCGCCTGTCCGGTGCTCCGTCATGACAGCGTCGGCCGCCATCCACACCCGGTCCGACTGGGACACGAAAACCTCTCTGATGGCGTTTAGCGCTGTATGGTGGTCATCTACAGGGCGGCAACAGGGGGGGACAGTATTATTTATACATGGTGAAGATGTACAAAACTAAACCTTGGAGAGGTTGAATTCATAATCGTCCCTTGACTTCCATCACTTCTGTTTTATTTTTTCTCATTTCCACATTTCATGACTGCACATGGTGACGGCACACTCAAGTTATATCAACTTATTTCATACCGTCACCAACGCAGAGGACAAATACGGAACAGGACAATACTCATTTTCACTTGAGTTAAGGGAGGAAAGTCGTGTAAAGTACCTTTCCCAAGGGCACAAGATCGGTGGCATGTCAGGGCTCGAACCTGGGATCTCTTGGTTCCGAGTCGAGTAATCTGTCGCTACACCACACGACCCCACGTCGTGTTTTATTTCCCCCAAAGTCTGCATATAATTTTCCATGTGTAAAGTGCTCAGAACATTTCCATTGCAATGGGCAGAATACATGCATAAAGTGTTGCTCCGGTGACCACAGAGTCATTATATACAACATCATCATGCAACGTTACCTAATAGCAGTGCGATCATAAGAATTCAGTGAAGAAAACAGTGATAGGGGTTAATTTGACAATGACAAGATGTATGCCTACCTGTTGACTGTGTTACCGTAGGCAGCAGCTGTAGGGTGGCCTCAGTCTGTACACGCAGGATGGTTTTCTTTCCGCAAGCTGGCAAGGTCACCGACGGTGTCGTATCGGGTGCGGTGATGACAATGGATCTTTGAATAGGCAAAGAGCTACAGAATGGCCCCAAGCTATCAATAATGTACATGGGCATGTTTTCTGCACTATTCAGAATGACGAGACTGTTAGACCGCCCCCCTAATGTGGACATTACATCTTCAACCACTGATTCAGCGTGGGCTCTGTCCATGGATATGAACTGACTGGGGCTCAGGAGATAATGCTCTTTAGCGATCAGCCAAGACAAGGCCAAAGAGAATGTTAGAGCTGTTGATTGATCTGATGAGTCATCAATGACCAAAAGGGAAATACCGTTAGTTTCTTCATCGCCAAATTCCTGCTCTATGGCAGTCCACAGCGCCTGTTCCTGATGATTAAACAATTCTATTAAGCGCTTTAACCTCTCACTGGAATCAATATCTCTAGGGATATATTTGTAACTCTGCAAAACTGACAAAATGTCGTGAGTTGACACTGTCTGAACCATTACGTTACTCTGGTGATGACTGCCAAGGTTCATGATTTGATGAATACTTATGCCCACTATAATGCCCAGCAAGAATGTAATAATTAATTTGATAGTTCCTTTTGTCTGTTGTTTCTCTGTCTCTAGTGAAATGGACTGCTTCTCGTTTTCTGTTTGGATAGTGGATATGTCCTCGTCAGACTTGTCACATCTGAAAACAATCATGAAACGCATGTAATTTGCCCTGTTTGCCTCTCTGTGGTAATTGTTCTATGTGCTTTTTTGTCGTCCATTACATGTATATCACTTAAAATGGAATGAAATATGACTATTATAAAGAGTACAACTCACCGCTCGGGACGTCGTTCATTACTCTGTGCTTCAGAATCCCGCACCTCACTGGCGACCAGATCGCCGCGGTGGTTTGAAACGTTTTCCGGCTTTCCTTGATTGTCAAGACGCGATATGTTAGAGTACTGGATCTGCTTGTGTATTTAAGAGGGTCCTTTGAATCATACAACAACTAGGGCTTGATATGTACCAAACCATTACTATCGTTGCTAATGGTTCCTTCTTAGCGCTAAAGCTAGAGAAGATAGTTTCTGTCCCTAAAAGAAACATATGTTTGTACACACATACATACATACATATATATGTATAGAGAGAGAGAGGGGGGAGAGAAACAAATATAAGTTTGTTTCTGGAATAGGCCTGTAAAATGTACATGATGCTGCTGTTAAATAATAAGTAAGGTCTTCCATTCCCAAGAAAGTTCATTTGCATTGGTAGGTGACATAGAACTGGTCTAAAACGTTCACGTTTTTCAAATTCAACCTCCAATCAAAAGCATGCATTTCCTTTTGTCCGTATATTGGGCTCGTACAAAATGACATGTCTGTATCTATTATTGCTGTCCTTTTTACTGTTTTATGTCAAAAATTATATCGTCGTACCTGCAGGACTGGAAGATGATGACACTTTGTCATCTCTGGTGGGTGATGAGTTTTCAGTACTTTTGGTCACTGAAGTCTTTGCCTCATCTTGTACCTGTTCGGATTGTTGGGTTTCTTCCTCTTGTATCATTTCTTTTCTTCCGTCACTTCCCTTTGCCTGCTCGTGCTGTTGTCTATTTTCCTCTGGTCTCGCGTCTTTCGCTTAAAAAAATCAAGGTAAGGTCGTTTTTTCTACCTTCACTGTTTTTTGTCCTAATTTGTAACACGTATTGCCACTTTCATGTTCATGGTTAAATAAAATCAGTGACAAAATATAACAAGAAGCCATAGGTGACAATCCTCCGTGAAGTTTTATATATTTCAACAAAATCCCAAGCGTCAACGCCAGACCTACTGTGCAGACATTATAATTAGGCAACGGTTAATACAATGAGGGCGCGTCACAAGTATAAAACATACAAAGAGCTAAATCCATTACTGCTCCCAGGGCGTGTAAAGATACTGTGCTTCACGTTCGAAGTTCATTTTAATTAAACAAACACAATATTTGCATTCACATAAAGATCGGACTATCATGGTCGTGTCTAGTAACAAAGATAGCCCCACCGTCTTACCGTGCCTGTACCTAATTAAGCGCGCCTGGAACAGGACAAATTCCAGCAACAGTTGCGGTAAGCACCGCGAGTGTTACTACCGCCGGCCAGATAACCAGGATATCTGCTTATAGTACCTCTGCTACCAGACAACTGCCTAAACCTTCGGCCTATTCCACAGGATTGTAAAAGTAGGGATGTTTCTAAAATATGCATTTACTTCAATATCAAAACAGCTACGGTAAAAATAAAAAGACGTGCATCATCCCGGACATAATGCCACACCACATGCGAAATTACACAGAAATGCGACGTACGGAAGAATGCGTTTTGGCTGCGAACATCTTCCAAAAAACTTGGCATCTCTTAACCATGGGCAAAAACATCTGGAACCACTTATAAAAAACACCCCGTATCTGCATGAAGTTCCACCCCCCCCCACTGCTATTCCAAACAACGCGTTTTTCTGGACCATTCCAATTCGCCTCGTAATTGTAGGGGTGCGTCTGCAATATTACATTGACCGCGAAAGCAGCAACGGCAAAAATACACATTCGTGCATCAACACGGGCATGCCCGCAGACGGCGTATAAAATTGCGTGCCGATTACACAAAGAGAACCCAGTGTTTTGACTGCGAACATGAAAAATCAGTCGATCACAACACTCCGTCCGGAGGTCCTGACCTCCTTCACGGAGTAAAAATAGACTACCTGTATATGTCAAATTCAATAATTAATACGGTCTTATGTAAACATTTCACAGTAACACATACAAAATACTAACTTTTTGTCGTGGTAGTTTGCGTACGCCGCGACAACATTTTCGTAGACGTTTTTTTCTTCTTTGATTTACCACTTTCATCTTCTTTTGACTCTTTTTCGTCACCGCTAAAGATGTCCTGGTCGGAGGTAGTAACTTCTGCCATGCCGTCGGTCTAATAAGGTGAAAACCAAACAGAGGTTTCGGGTTTATAGATTCGCAGGTAAAAGAAAAGAGATTTACGAACATATTTCGTCTGAATTGTTAAAGAAGAAATGTTTCAATAATGCAAGTTTAGATTGTGATACCCAAGGCTACCAGTACAATATAGTATAAATATCCGTTTGAGATGCATATGTAAAAATGTGGGTTAAAGTTATAACCCAAAAGTATTAATCAAAGGTACCTGACATTCTAAAAAATAAATGTATATTCTTCTTTGGACGTTCTGACTGAAATGTCACATAACATCGTCGTATGCAAAACACTTGGTTAAAAGGCTCTGGTGTTTTCGCACGAGAGGCCACTCTTGTTTTGTCACAACAATATGAATTGACAGCTGCCATTGTCCTCTGTCATTAGTACTCATTACCCAACTAGGTTCTGCCCAGGCACAACGTCCATGGCAACCGGAGTTGCTACGGTAATGCTACCATTTCCCTGCCGCTTAATTGGAGTTGACTGGTTCAATAACTCAATTACGTACCATCTAGCTAGACACTTGGCTGACCTTCTCAAGCCCCTGGTGGGACAGTCTGCTGAACACATCAAAAACTCCAACGATCTTGTCACCAAGATCAGAGAAATCAAGTTGGAAGATGGGGAAGTACTTACCTCGTTTGATGTCACGGCACTGTTCACTAGTGTCCCGGGGGAAGAGGTAGTCCAGATTGCTATCAAGAGAGCAGAGGAAGACCACACTTGGCATGACCGCACTCTGCTGACCCCTAAGGAATTCGGGGAACTTCTCCTCCTTGTGGTCAGTACAACTTACTTCCAGTATAATGACGTCATTTATGAACAGACATATGGTATGGCGATGGGATCCCCACTGTCCCCAGTACTAGCTAACTTGTTCATGGAGGACTTTGAACGCAGAGCTTTGGACACTGCCCCACATCGCCCTAAGTTCTGGGGTAGATATGTAGATGATACCGGGGTAGTAAACCAAAGCGAACACGAACAAGAACTCTTTGAACACATTAATAACCAACATGACAGCATAAAGTTTACCATCGAGAGGGAAAAGGACGGGCGCCTCCCTATGTTGGACGTAATGATGATTCGTAAACCGGATAATTCCATCACCACAGATGTGTTTCGCAAAGAGACTCACACAGACCACTATTTACTGTGGTCCTCTAACCACCCAGTGCATCAAAAACTGGGCATAGTGAGGACACTTATGCACAGGGCGAACACACTGATAGAAGACCACACCCTCAGAGCAGCAGAGAAGGACAAGGTGAGGGGCGCACTGCGACATTGTGGGTACCCAGAATGGGCGCTAAAAGAGGGGGATAACATCACTGACAAGAAAAAGATGAATAAAGAACGTACCTCCCAAAACAAAGAGCGACACCCTGCGAGTTACGCAGTACTCCCCTACATCAAAGGAGTCACTGAGAGACTTAAACGGGCGTACGCCAAGCACAACGTGAGTCTGTTCTCTAAACCAGGCTATACACTGCGCAATGCCCTTATCAGTCCAAAAGATCCACTACTTCCCAGTGAGAAGTGCGGTACTATTTACAAAATATCGTGTGAGATGTGTGGTGAGGTGTATGTAGGTGAAACCGAAAGGTCCCTAGGTGAACGGACTGACGAACATCAGAAATCTGTAGACCGTCAGGACGGTAAATCGGCGCTTAGCCAACATGAACTTAAAGCGGGACATAGGGTCACAAACGGCCCTATTTTGGACATCGTTAATATCATAGACCAGGAATCCCGGAAGTCACATAGAAAGATTAAGGAAGCGGTCCATATCCAGTTGGAACGTGCCGGGATGAATCGCAACGAAGGTTGGGAGCTGCCCAAGTCCTACCTACCCCTACTCCGCAAGGAGGCGGGGGAGGTCAGAAGATCCACACAAGTCTCGACCTAGTCTCGTGTTCTCGCGAGACTAGGTCACTCCTTGAGAAAGGTGTACAGTCGACACCGAAAATTTGGAGGTACGTGTTTTTACCTTTAAAATCACACCTACATTTAACTTTAGATCAATATAATACACTTAACCCTCAAACACCCGAACTTATTTTGCAACGAAAATGACCGAACGGGGTCCAAATGGACCCCAGTTGGTTTCTATCAAATTTATATTCCTTTTTTGCATTCTTTCATTGATCTTTGCACATATATTGGTTAAACATAGTAAGAGGTATATGCTAGCTTGATTAAGTGTAAAAAATTATCATAATATCATTATCCTAATTTATGCAAAAAAATTGGATGAGGTCTGCAGGCATGGACATGGGGTTGACCTTTGACCTCATATTATTGTCAATGGTCATTACCTCTGACAACCTAAAACCCTAATTCCTGAGGTTGAGGTTACATGGCAAACTGCATAATATCAAAAGCAATAATGCTTCCTTGAAGACATATTGAGGATATCCGAACATTTCATGTGTTTTTATGACGGAGAAAAACTTTGTAAAGGCATTACCAAAGACGACACAAACAACAACAAGATTGCACTTGTCACGTAATTAGCGGTGCATCTTTCGCAACAGAAATTGGTACATATACAATTAGGATCGTCACGAGAAAAACTTTGTGGTAAAGCACTAGCTAAGTCTACCAAGCTGTACTTATCACGTAATGAGCGGTACATTTAAGCAACAGAAATTGCACGATCTCAGCCGACTTCAAGCAAATAAGCCAAAAGTTCTCATCGCGAAGCCTGCCTCTTCTACCAAAAAGACTTTCGAGGAAAGTTCGTGGAAGTGATATCATTAACAAATAAAGTTCCCTGTGATTTCGGACACAGGTTGAGATGTGAAATTCACGAGTTATTCTCTATTTGTTTCTTGATCTCTTTCCATGTTTGTGTGCGCCGCGTGTGTATGTGTGTTTGTATACGTGTGCGCGCGTGTGTGTGTAAGAACGTAGGCTGAGTCATCAACTTATGTAGGGTTTAGTAACCTTATTTGTCACTCGTTCCTTTTAAGACTATAAGGTTGGTGATACACGTACATGTCAATCGTCACTTACTTAATTTCTATCAAAGTCTTCTAACGCCCTAGCTATTTGCCGCATGACGTGGTCGACGTCCACTACCGGAGCATCGATATCGAAATGTCGCTCTATAAACTGCGCTACGGATACATCGTTAAGTTCTAAATTGTCACTAAACATATCAACTATACTACTCAACGAAATGTTCCGACATCTGTGTAAGAGGTAAAATAGACAATGCTGGCCACAAGTGGTCGAAAATCTAGCTTGTATCCTGCGTTCGTTGCAAATCCATGGAAGGCGGGTATTTCTACTCAAAAATCTTTCTATGTTTCGAGGATAAACACTCGGTGCACGTCCATAAGAGTCGAAAAATTCGCCTCGCCCATCCTCGTCGAAGTAGATGGCCAACCAGTGCTGGGTCACTGTTGACGATGAAAGCGCTCGGGAATTCCGGTACACGTATCGGTAGCTTGTTGGAAGCAAAGACGTAGGCATGTAGTGAGGTGTTGCAATAGAGTGATCTATAATGTCCCCATCATTTCCCTCCACCTTCACGATGCGCAAGAGAGCGACTTTTACACCCCCCACTAGACGATGCTGAACAACGTCTGAGTACACGTACAGGCAATGAAACCCCGCGTTGATGTCTGGTGGGTGGGGGGGCCTGAGCCGTGTTTCCAACGATCGTGTTCTCTGGGTACCAACCAAGCTGTTTGGCTAAAGGTCCGATCAGTCTGACGGTTGCCGGGGCGAAATGCACTGACATGGGAGGCAGAGTCATAGACACGCGTTTCTTGATTGCATTGTAGCGAAACAGTTCGTGTTGTTTGAAGACCTCAAGATAGTTCTTTTTCACTTCCTCGTTTAGGACCTGTATGAGATGGTGGATGTCCTTGTAGTAAGCCGACGGTACCGTGATGAACTCTTGTTCGGTTCCATTGCCGTGTAGGTTCTCCGCGTCCTCTACAAGATAGAACGTTAGTGAATTTCCCCCTTCTGAAACGTTCATCCAGCTGTGAGGGTATTGAATTTCGGCAAGAGCTACCTCCCAATCCCCCGTCAGCTCGATAGAATGCGCCAATTTGGTCCTGTAGTTTGTTAGCGTGTTTTCAGGATAGATATCCATGCTGCCATCACTGGGGAGAGTGACGTAAAACGAATTAGCCATGGCGAGGTCCGTCTGTGCAATGGTCAAGTGTCGGTCTAGTGTTCGTATTTATTGTATCGGTATCATGTCTTCCTCTCTCACCCAGCTGTTAAATTTGCTAGGATAACCTTTCCACTTGACGAAGTATTCAGTCTTTTTACCCCGACGCCTCGTGTCCAGGATGTTTTCTACCTGGTAGATGTCGTCTTCGTTTTTGTTCACTTTCTGGAGCTCCTTTTCGTAAAACGTACCCTTCAATTCCTCTCCGTGGTAATCCTATCCTTGATGCGGAACACGGGAGGTCGTCTGGCGATTCGTTTAGACACGGTGAAAATTTCTGTGGTCCAATTTGGTGTATATCCCTTTTCAAGTCGCAATTTTGACTTGCTGAGTCGAACTAAATCCCCCACACTGAATTTGAACGGTGTCGCTTTGTGAAGGTTCGGTGTGTCTCCCTCTCCGTAAAGGGTATGCCAGACGAGTCCTTCGTTTTTCTCGTTGACGTCGACGGGGGCCGCCTTGATACTGCGATGGTATGAACGATTATAGGACCAGACTAGCTGGTCTAGAATGTCGATGTAACGATGTGTGTTTGCTCCCGTAAAGTATTTCCACATTCTCGTCTTCAGCGTGCGGTTGAACCTTTCTACCACGCTAGCTTTGGTTTCAACGTTAAACGTGGTGAAGAATCCGATGCCTTCTTTTTTCAACAACGACTGAAAGTGTCGATTTAGAAACTCCGTTCCCTGATCTGTCTGTAAGCATCTGGGTTTCCGTCCGTCCTCTGATATGATGCCCTGGAAAGCTTTCACCAAGGTGGCTCCCTTCTTGTCTTTGATGGGGACGACCCACGCATACTTCGACAGGATGTCGATACACGTGAGAAGGTAGCGGTATCCGTCGTTGTGTTTCGAGAGAGAGCACAAGTCGACGAGATCTGCCTGCCACTGAGAGTCTCTTCCCCCGACAATGACTCTATTTCTTTTGAATCTGCGCCTAATCGGTTTATGTAAGGTGTATGTGTCTTGAGAGTGCAGCCAGGTCTTCACTTGTTTTCTGCTGATGCCGTGCTTCTTTCCGACGGTTCGGTGGAGCCGTCCCACTCCACTATACCCTGCAGGGTGTCTAGAGTCGTAGTAAGCACCTCGGAGCACTTCGTCGCGTTTCCCGGATATATTGGTCTGCTCTGCATTTTCTTTCCCTTCCTGTTTCCTTCCTTTTCTTCTCCCTTTGGAAACCATCTCAACCCTCTGACGAAAACGAATATTCGACCACCGATACACATACAGGCACAGATGACGCGGTGTACGAATCCCCTACGTCGATGTTTCTTTAAGGCAACCCATGTGTGTTCTTTGTGACTGTCCAACTGAGACTGACCATTTCGTTTAGGTGCTAGCTCTTTTATACAGATCTGTTGAAGATGTGTTACCCGACTGAGTCATACAATAATCACGCTTATTATGTATAGAATAAACACAACACACAGTCTAAGTCTTCGCTTCGACAATAGCTTTATTTTGTGCTGCTTCGACAATAGCTTTATGTTGTGCTTACATGTTACTCCTCTAAGATCTTCGTGATGAGGTTGTTGCTTGGGGAGCCCTCGTTGTTGAGCACAGCTTCCAGCACTGCATCCATCTTCTGGCTGTGTGTCTCCAGCGCCTGCCACTGATCCGTGGACAAGTTGATCCCTTTCTTGCCGGGGAGGATTTTGTCAGAACCATCCTTCGGTCGGTAGAACTCTCTTAGTGCCACGACTGGTTTCCCTCTGAAGATCTCCACAATGGCGTATCGTAGATTTCCCAACCCAAAGCGACGAGGAGAGAAAAGGGTGTTGTCGTACGGCATTGAGGCAAACGTGCATGATAGCAGGGCTGTCGACACCCCCGACATGTTTCGTTTGAGAACACGCCATTGATCTGGGGTCAGAACGAGCTCTTTTCTGCTGGCCTTCCACAAGTTCTTTTCTTCAGGGTACGGACGATAAAACTGTCGCACGCCCATCAGCGCTTTGCCTTTGAAACGACCAATCGTGGCGAAGACGTCTTCCCCCACTGGAAACCTGACTTCCAACCCGTCGGTCTCGTTGTTGTACTGGATGTTTGGTTTGGCAGGTGGCGCGTAGTCGGCAGAACGGCTCGGTTTCGTCTCGTTGTAGTACTGGATGTTCGGTTTAGCAGGCGGTGCAGTAGAACAGCTAGCGGTCGAATAGGCCATCGCCTCCGACGGCGTAGGTCTCTGGGCTCCGCCGTATAGCGGTGGTGTCTGTGTCGCTGCGTCCACATATTGGGGTGTCTGAATCTGCCAATCCAACATATCCGATGCAGACATCTGTGAAGTCATCTTTCTCTCAGCGTAGACTCGTATGGTTCTTTGGCAAATCGTGAGTGAAGACTGGTGAACTGACCCGTCTTTATACAGATCGTTTGTCCGAGTTAACTAATCGATGTAGAGCACACGTCACTGTTCGTCACCTTTCCTGCGCTGACCAATCGTCGTCCGGTACCACGTTATGTCGAGTCGAGTCTAGTCGGTGATTGGACAAGTCCCCACGTGTTTAGTGATTCATGCAGATTTGGGTGGCACGATAACAGTAGACGACAGATAAAGTCTACGATAGACGCGCACGTATTTCGTCTTGTATTACTAATCAACCCGTTCCATCCCTGGTGACGTAACAACCACCTCCCCGCCATGGAACACACCAACTCGACGACCTCCGCACAGATCGCGTCGTCCGTTGTCTTTTTCGACTCGTGTAGTTTGATGTGTACATCCACGACGAAAACCAGCGCGATGATGATGCGTCCCCAGTTCAACCCATTTTGTTGTAGGGCGCTTTCTAAAACTTCCCTCAATCTGTTAGAAACGTTTGTCGTGCACGTGGTCGATGTAAACGTGTCTAAGAGATCTCGCCACTCCTGCGTTCTCGTGACATCGTCCGACACTCGTGCAATCTTTCGACATATGGCCAAATTCTCCCGTCTCAAATATTCTGGAAACGACTCTGGAGCCTTTTGGTAAAGTAAGCTACGTATGATGTCTTCAGTTTGTGCTTTCAGTACTTCCATACTGCGTACCGACATGTTTAAAACGTTCCTTGTGCAGCTAATAGCATTCCTAATTGCTAAATAAGTAAATGTCTTGCGATTAGCTTCACTAAACGACGTCATTTCCTTGTGACCCCATTCCCATGCCCTGCACCTCCATCATTCCCACGCCTCCGTCATTCCCACGCCTCGCACCTGCTCAGCTAGCACCTACTCATATTAGCACCTACTCATATTAGCACCTGCTCATATTAGCACCTGCTCTGCACCTGCTCAAAAAAGTGTATCGTCCCGTCCATACTATACTACTCCCAAATCTTCCAGAAAATCCCACATTTTTGAATTTTAGAGAACAGTATAACAAAATTAAGATTTTAGTCGGACAGTTTTCTTTATTTCAAAGTTAAAGTGTTGCTAAGGTCGAAAAAGTTCGCCAAAAAATGCACTTTTTCAAGTTCCCAGAACGCCGCCATCTTTAAAAAATCCGTCCGACACAGATCGAGATTTTTGTCTTTAAAACGTTTTTGAGGTTAATTGAATTTGCTTTTGTTGCGGTTTAGATACCCTGTTTGCACGCATGTCAGACAGGGTGAGTAAGTGCAGGGGGTAACTTACGAGTATATCCCCGTAAACAACCAATACGATCTTCAAGGTCACACACGATGACTGCAGTAGCTTCGTTAAATGTTACATATCCACTATAAAACTGGGCATAGATATACTGTCCCAAAATTGGTTTATATTTGTGAAAAGGTGGATTTTTTACTTTTAGGCGGTAAAAAAAGGGCTTGAAGCCGCGTGTTTACTGCACATGACCGCAGGCGTCCCCGGATCGATCGAAAGTTCGGTTCGATTGACGTCATATCGAACATGATTTGATTCGAATGACGTCATATCGAACATGATTCTGTTCGACAAAAAGGTTGGAATATTTGGACCCAAATTTGACCATCGTGCTGCACCAACGCAGGTAGCAAGCCAGACTTGTTCTAATGTAAAAAGCAGTGAACAATATGATAATCTTTCCTATAAACAACATTCTTAACAAAAACATACACATTAGAAAAGGACATCAGTCACGCTTCATCCAATGCAAGCCAGAAGTATACAGAGCTAGTTACTTTTAACGCACCGTCATCGAGTGGAACGCTCTACTAGGTACACTCGTACCAAGCACATTATTATTTATTATTTGTTTAAGTCGGGGTTGGCCAGTCAACTTGGCCTCCTATAAAGGTTTAGGCGTAACAAAGAATCATGAGAACTAGTAAATAACACTTCAAGCTGAATTTAGGATGACAAATAAGTCGCTAGGTAGAATCAAACGCCCAATAACGCTTTACGATTAATATACCCATAACGCTAAACGCTGAATTAAAGGGGGCGGCAACGATTACCCCCGGGAATGAAGTACATCACTGCATCAAAGCAAGTATGTTCGTAGCGCATGTTCCCGCGTTTCTTTCCCGATAATGAGCTGAGGCATGACGTCACACGCTCGGTTGGGTTAAGGCGGCCTAGGCTGATATTCATGTTCGAGTTCGGGCGTGTGTCTGCACGATGGCCACAGACATGTTTCGAACCCGAATCATGTTCCACCATGTTCGATATGACGTCATTCGAATAGAACGCGTGTTCGAATTCGGGGTTACCGGCGGTCATTTGTATGTTTCCCCTGTAAACCCGCGTTCACGGCGGTTTGTCACTACGGCATTCTTTCCCGATGCTAGGCGCGTTCTAAAAAGTATCGGGTTACAAGACGCTATTTTGGCCTGTTTTGGACTACCAGTAAAACATTTGAAAATAAGCAAATAGTATTTAGTGGTAAATTTCGTCAAATTAAAATGAATTTATCGTCTTCACATCCTTTTAATGTTAGCTTTTTATGTCAAATCACTGATTTGTTTTTCAAATTTCGCTCAGAAAGACGATTATTTTTGGGTTTCCGAGCACAAGTCATGTTATGTTTTTAGGCATACCTCGTTCAATCCAGGCTATGTATATTACCCCAGATCCCCGTTCTTTGTATTTTTCGACGACTAGGAATAAGATCAAAAATCGTGTTTTAGGGATTTTTTTAATTTCTGATTTTAAGTCTAGTTTTTGTCACCATATTGGTGAAAAAATTGCATTTTTTTACATTTTTCTCACTGAATTACCCATAATTCAAAATTGAGGCCATTTTTCAAAAATCCCTAAAACACGATTTTTGGGACAACCCTTACGATCATTCTGAGCCGTAAATGGGGTATAGTTGACTTTCCATGCTTCCAGGTTTGAACGAGTTTTGCATACATGTCATATCGCCTGAAAGTGTGCATTGTGTTATTCATACAAGCGTAAAGAATCATTACAGTATTCAAGGTCACCCAAGGATACGACAGTAGCTTCCCTACATGTTACATGTCCACAAAACAATGATAGCGGACATGTACTGTCCAGGAAAACTGTTTGTATCTATAGAAAAGTGTTGTTTTTTATCTGTAGCGAGGCACTCAGGCAGAAGGGCTTGTTTTGTCGCTTTATTGTAAATGACCGCAGGTGACCCCGAAATGGAACGCGGGTTCGATTCGAATTGCCCAGATCGAACACCATCGAACACTGTTCGGATTCTATGAAATGTGGGAACTTTGCAGCCCAGATTTTACCACCGTGGTTGTTACGCATTTTATTCACGGAGTATGACTTAAACGGCTTTACGCACAGCTGAAAACAGCATAATTGATCTTTAGAGTAATCCATGTTTACGTATTATCAGTTTTTTTATCAAAATTGTCCGAGGCTATTTTGCATATAAGTCGATATTTTTTAACTGTGGCGATTTTTTAACAAAAAATGACAGAAAAATAGCTGTTTCTGTCGTTTTGGGCCCAAAAAAACAATGTAACTGTCATTTTTTTTTAAAACAAAATAGCCTCGGACAAAAATAATAAATAGGGGATTGGCTTTCTACTTGTAAAATATCATGATGAAAGGTGTTGTTACCGCTTGCGCGTAAAGCCAACAGCTTTTTTTAGCCAAATTTTAGACCAAAAATCCAGGTGTAGAAAAACTGAAGTACCCTTTATCCAATGCGTTTCAAGTACAACTAAAACTGTGTAAAGTTTCGTCACGGTGTGACCAAGCTATCAAAAGTTACAGGCATATATATGTATAGGATACTACTTTCCCATACGCGTAGGACGCCTAAACCCAACCGAGCATCTAACGTATCTCATCTACAGCAAAAACTCAAATATGAAACTACCATCCTGGTAGATACATACGCCTATTTTCACGCTTTGCCCAGAACACCAAAACCATAGCGGTTTGACGAAGGCAGATAACAATCCGCAAGAATGCTGCAGAACATACTTCGATCGTCGGATGTCGCTGTTTTCACACGAGAAACCATCGCTTTGTGATTAGATATATTAACCAGTTCAAAACAGAAAAACCGTTGTTATATGACATTATAGGGCATTATACCTTTTGCATGTTTATATGGGTGAATTAGGGGCATGGGACATCTAAAGTTCATAACTCTACACTAAATGGATAAATACTTCAATGTTCCTAAACCTAGAAGTTCTACAGCTTAACTCTGTATATACGTACACTATCACTTAAATGCAGTCAGAGTTCTATGTTAACCTCTATTGTTTAGGTCACGCCCGGACCGATTTTTCAGCCGGACCAGAATTTTCAGAACACCGAACTTCCGGGTTTAGCACCCTGAGTAGATGAGAAATTATTGGTCAACCAATAAGTAAATACGCCATCTGAGACACGGTATGGCATCCCAGACTTATCCTTTATCTAGTACATTCTCATCAATGTACAAAATGTCGACTTGATTATCTTCTAGTCACTTTTACTCGGTGAAACTGGAAATTCGGGTTGTTTGGCTGTCAGCTGTCGATGCAGCTACTAGTATAGTGCGCCCTCCAGCGTCCATTATGAGTATCGCAGTACGTATGCCTTGGTCAACGTGGCTTGACAGCGCCCTACAGTTATTGAATAGCCCCGTCACGCTGAGTTGAGCACTCTGTTTATATGGTCTTGAAAATTCCAACCCCTTTCAGTATTACCTCTCAAGCTTTACAATGGTAGACTCCTGAGAGTCAATATTTCTGCGGTTGTTGGTCCCTCCACAATGAAGAAGTGGATAAACATTGCTGGACAGACACAGACTTCCCTCTGTCAAATTCTTCTATCAAATTCTGAACGATAGTTTGAAACTATGTGGATTCGTCCAGAGTCGTAATAGGTAAGGAAACGTTTCTG